CCCCCCCCGCCTACACACCAGACACACCCACCTCCATGCTTGCTCCTGCTGATGTCTGGCCAGACCCCCTGCCACCACACCTTTTGTTGCTCTCTGCTTTCCTCTGGTCCTGTCTATGCCATACTCCTTCCCCAGCTACTCACTGTGCCCACCTGCTGAGCAGTGTTCTCTAAAGTTCCTGTCCTTGGCCATCCCATCTCCCATATCCACTACCTATACTTCCACATCAGTCATACCTAACCTATCATGGCTCCAACTTCATGGCAGCCTGTTAACCTTGAGGCTCTGAACTCCCCTCAGGTTCAAAGCTGAAGTCACCAACCCATTCTCCAGGCCTCAAACAGGCTCCCTACCACCTACCGTTCAGCCAGAAACCAGCCTCCATGGTCACCGACTGACCCTGCTGCTCGGGCTGAGATAGCTTCAGTCCAAGCTCTGCTGTAGCCAGTCCCTCACATCCACCCTCTGTGCAGGTGACCAACACAGGTCAGCTCCAGAGGATTTCAAGAACATGTTCAGCTCCTGTCTGGGGCAGCTAAAGTCCTTCACAATGCACTCCTCTTCATCTTCTCCTCCTCCAGTGGGACTGTTTCCCCAGGCTCTGACCCTATAGCACTTCTTCTGGCTCTCTGCATGTCATTATCCTCCTCTGTCTAGTTCCAAGGAAGCACTAGTCACCCTGTCTGCCTGTGGCTACTTCCCCATCAAAAGACCTGAGAGCAGGCTCTGTGAGAACATAGTTCCATCCCTCACCAGCCTGGCCCAGAGTCCAGCTCAGAGCGGGTCCAGGTAGAAAACACCAGGTGCAGCTGACCCAGCCACCAAGGCAATGTCCAGCCCTTACCACTCTCTGAGAGCTCCATCTCGCTGGCTCCTAGGGCCTCACTGGCTGCTGTCTCCACCACCCCTGTCTCCTCCTCCTCCTCCTCATCGTCCTCCTCGCTTTCAGTCACACTTAGTTCCTGCAGTTTGGTTTTGGTGCTAGCGGCCTCCTGAGGTTGCAGCTTCAGCTGTACAGTGTAGAGGTGCTCCAAAACTCGCCTCTGAGGAACAGAGAAGACATGCAGCTCAGGACTGAAGGTAACACAAGTAAGGCAGGAGCGAGGAAGAAGAGGATGGAGAGAGAGACAGGAATGTGGAGCAAGGGGGACATGTAGGCTGCAAGAAAGTCGAGCTTTTTGGGGACCAGGTATGGGTGGAGTGCGCCCTTGCACCTGTAGTCGGGGCTGCTGGGCCTGCTGGGCACAGCTAAGAGCCTTTTGGAAGCATGGGGCCAGCAGCTCATAGGCATCACCAGCCTCCTCATGAGACAGCGCAATGTTGAACCAGGTCTTGGCTTCCTGGAGCAGGAGAAGGAAGAATGAGGTCAGTGATTGCAGCTCATCACAATCTGGTGGCCATAGCCAAGGCCTGGCTTCCCCCTGCTTCCAACATGAAACAGGAATATCTGCTTTGGCTCTGAGCTCCATCTTCCAACTGCTGGAGGCTGACAGTCCTAGGAAGGAACTGCCTGTCCCATGGGGGTGTCACCCATGCCCTCCACTCAAGAATAGCAGTCCTAAGGTATAGCCATGGGGACAAACCTGCACTTTGGGAGGGGAGCAGGGCACGTCACCTCCAGGGCATTGCCATTGCGTAGCCTCAGTTCCTCTTCGTAGTGGTACACGGCCCGACGGTGATCTTTCATGTCTCCCAATGTGGTAGCCAGGGACACATGGATAATGGCACGTTCGACCTCTGGTCTGTTCAGCAGCTCAGCGAGGTGCAGCTGGGAGCAGTGCCAGTAAGGCCTGGGGCTGCCACCCTGGCCAGACCACACTGACTTCCCTGGCCCTTCCCTTCCACCCAGCCAGAGCTACACACCTGCTTCTGGTAAGCCTCAGCTGCCTTGGGGAAGTCACCTGCCTTGGAGAACAGGTCCCCCAACTGCTCACAGATGGCCATGGCACCATGAGTGTCACCACCCTCGGCCTCCTCCAGCTGCTGTTGTAGCTGGACCACCGCTAACACTGGCAGGAAGGGGCTCATGTGAGGGGGCGGCACTGCAGATCCTGCCTCCAGCTCTGCCATCTGCGTGCTATGTGCCTGGAAGTGGCCCACCTGCCCTCTCCATACCTCCACCTGCTCATTGGTATGAGAAATAATAGGAGGGTCTATCTTGCCTCAGGATCAGAAGAACTAATACATTTAACAATTCAGGACAATGTCTAGCTTGAAGGGCTGACCACTATCAGCCATCACTGATGATCAAATCATTGGCATTCCTGAGCCACATGTATGCCACCTGCTTTCCCATCCCATGAGGTTAAGGGAACAGCTATTATCTCCAGTTTGTCAATGAAGATGTTGGCTTGTGGGTAATGGCCCAGCCAGTCTCCTGATCACCCTTCAGGTGCTATAAGTACAGAGAAAAATAAGGATCTCCTTCCAGCAGGAAGTGGGGGACCTGCCCCTTTTGCTGGAAGCTGATGCTGCCACCTCTCCAAGGACACATGCTTAGTCCTCCTCTGCCAAGGTAATCAGGGCCCTGTACAGCCCTTCCTGGGAAGTTCAGCCCATGGGCCCTCTTCCAGGCTCACCATACTTGAGATTCTGGCAGACTGTTGCTCTCTGCAGAGGCTTCTGGGACCCTAGCCGGTAGGCCTTCTTCAGGGCTCTCTTTGCAGCCAGAAAATCCCCTAGATCTTGGAGAACCTAGAAAGCAAAGGAAGGTAAGGCTTGCAGACCCCTCAAAGGCTGAGCCCACCCAATGGCTGAGCACAGAGCCACAGAAGGCAGGTACCTGTGAGATCACCAGGCAACAATCACTCTCCATGAACCGCTTCCTCATGGTACGTGCGCACTCCCGGGCCCCTTCCAGGCAGCGCATGGCCTGGGAGTGCTGCCCTCTGTGCCAGTGGATGGTGCCCAGGTTGTAGCGGGCACGGAACAAGTCCTCATAGAGGTGGTTCTGCCTGCAGGGGGTGACAGATCCTGAGTCCTCAGGATATTTCAGCTTTGGAACAGGGGACAGAGAGTATCAAAGTGTTCAAGATGGATGCTGATGCGCAAGGAACATCCAGTTCCAGTTATAGCTACTGATACCACACAGACCCCTGCTCTACCAAGTTATGGTCTCAGGGCCCAAACCAAGCCTCCCCCAGTATGCAGCACAGACAAGAGAGGCCTCTTTCCCAATGGAAAAATCAACAGAAGGCGGGGATGAGGCCCAGACAGGCAATCCTCTCAGGAGTGTCCTGGGAGAGACCTCCCCAGCTACTTCCTCCAAGAAAAGGGGACTCCACTCCCTCCTAGGGCAGGGCTTGGACCTTACTCAGCGAGGAAGATGCTCTTCTTGAAGTAATCATTGCACAGGGCTGTCTGCTGCAGGCTCTCGAAAGTGAGGCCTAAGTTGAGATAGAGTCGGGTCCTCATCTCGCTCAGCTCTCCCTGGACCAGTGTCCCTAGAAGATGCCCCTTCAAAAACTCAGTCACCTCCTCACCACATGGTTCCCCACTTTGGGCCTATTCAGTGCCTATCCAGACCCTCTTAAAGACCTTCCTCCTTCCTCCCACTGTGGGCACCGGGGGGGGGGGGTTCTGCCACAGACAAAGCATGGAGTGGATAAAGAGCAGATGACCTCCAGGTACAAGGTCATGGGACGCATGGGTCCTGAACCCTCTCACACAGAAGACTTGCAAAGGGAGAGTCCCAGAAGGTGGGCTCCAAGCCAGCTGGCAGGCACAGGGTCACATTCTCCTTGGACTGTGGCTCAGGAGGCAGAAAGTGGGGAGAAGCTGAGCCCACCCTCCAGTTGTTCATCCACGATAGCCAAGCTCTTCTCAAAGGCAGCCTGTGCCTGAAGCAAGTCATCCCTTGACTGGCAGTGGTCATAGATGTCCAGGTGGGTGCGGCCGATGGTGGCCCAGGCCCTCTGCAACTCGATGTGGTTGGACAGGGAACGGGCCAGCTCCAGGTAATGGTGCTGGTGCTGAACATGGAAGGAAATTACTGCTGTGAGCTGACCCCACCTTATGAAAACACTGTACATTCAGACTTCAGGGCATACTTCTCCTACTAAGGAAAGCTCCCTGCTCCCTCAATCCCCTACAGAGCAGGCCAGGGTCAGGACACACATGCCCCTTTCCTCTATGCCAATGGCAATCTGTGGTGACCACTGCTCCACACTGTAATCAGTTAGCATGGTCATGGGGAAGGAGATGACTGGAAGTCAGCTAGGCTGTTGCAGCACTGCCCCCAGCAGCCAAGGTCAGGAAGGGTTCTGTATGGATATGGACAGGAGATCCTGATCCCTCTTCCCTCCACAAACACAGATAAAACAATATAGTCATTAATGATTTCTGTGCCAGGAAAATTAACTCCTGCCCCAATTCCAGGACTGTGGCATCCCCATCTGAGGGCCATATACTGGGTCCTGAAGGTGAGGTTGTGTCATGCCCGGTGTCCCCTCTAGCCTGAGACTCCTGACAATGAAGACTGGGCCTCCCTCCTTAGAAAGGGACCCCAAGAAGTAGAAGTCAGCCGGGCTGGGCTATGGCTAGCATGGATGCTCCACACCTGCAGGGCAGCTGAGTAGTTCTCCATCTCAGCCAGGCGCTCTCCGATCTTGCGGTGGGCCACGGCACAACCCAGGGAATCGTCGACGCTCTCCAGAAGCTGCAGTTCCTGCCGGTGTTCCTCCAGAGCCTCTGTGTAGCGGCCTAAGCGGGCAGGGGCACAGCACGACCTGGCCAGGCAGCCGCAAGGGTGCGAGAGCGTGCGGGGCAGCAGTCCCTCGGGCGGGGCCTGTCCAGGAAGGGTCCGGTTGCCTCCCGCCCGCCCAGCCCTGGACTCGTCCTCCCCGCACCGAGGTCCCGGCCAGCCCGGCGCGGGGCAGCACTCACCATGGCTGGCCAGGAGCTCCCCCAACTGGTGGCAGAGGGCGGCCTCCTCGCGCAGCTGCCCGCCCCTCTGGGCCTTGGCCCTGGCCTTGCTCAACTCTGCCGAGGAAGAGGGACCGAGGCTGAACCTCGCCTGGCGGGCCCAAGGCCAGGCCGAGGTCGAGCTCCAGTCCAGCTTCCCTAGCCTCCTCGTTCCCTGCACTCGGGGTCCCCGAGAGACTCACGGCGAAGCTCGCGCTCAAGAGTCATGCTGGAGCTGCCGCTGGATCCGGACTTCCCGCGCTGCGCCTGTGGTCCCGCCCTTCATCGTGCCGTCACGCAGACTCCGCCCTAGTTCCCCCGCTCAGGCCCAGTGCCGCCCATCGGCGGCGGTGCGGCGGGCAGGACGGGCGCAGAGCTTTCTGGGAAGTGTAGTCCACCTATCATGAAGCATTCTGGGAGTTGTAGGCTGGCTGTCGCAGAGAAGTGGACTGACCTGGGAGGATGGGCGTCTTCTCAAACTCCACCGTCGGTCCCGGGCACTGAACCCTGTGTCCAGTCCGAGGAGACTTGGTGGAGACCCCATTTCTCCTAGCAGGCGGCAGGACGTGGACTGGGGCAGTACGGGTGTCCAGGCAGGCCGAGACTCAGCCCGCCCAGGGTTCCCTCAGTCCACTCACTCTTCTGTGCTCCAGCACCGGTGCTGCCGGAATCCACCTGCCCCTTTCATTACAGATGTTCTGTAATGCTGCTCCCTAATTCCTACTGAAATTAAAATACGGCCGGGTTCGGTGGTTCAGCCTGTAATCCCGCGCTTTGGGAGGCCGAGGTGAGTGAATTGCCTGAGCCCGCGGGTTCGAGACCCGCCTGGGCAACTTGGTGAGACCTCATCTCTACAATAAATCAAAAAAATTAGCCGGGCGTGGTAGCGCGTGCCTGTAGTTCTGGCTACTTGGAAGACTGAGGCAGAAGGATTGCTGGAGCCCAGCAAGTCGAGGCTGCGGTGGCCGGGAGCGGCCACTGCACTCCAGTTTGGGTGACAGAGTGAGACTCCAACTAAAAAAACAACAAAAAAAAGAAATTAAAATACACACAAAACCTACTCACCCACACAACTTTAAAAAACGAATGTAATGCCTTAATGTAAGAGAACATAAACGTGATCATACATTTGAGTATTTAGATATGTAGACATAGTCAAGGCATCAGAGGCTCTCCTTTTTCACAAAAGCCTAAGCTCACCTGCACATGCAGAACAACACAACTGAGTCATATTTGGGGACTCAAAAACCCAGGACCATTGGGGAAGGAGGAAATGTGTTTTCCAAAATCAACAGAGCAAAATACTGTTTCCTCAACTCCTCAACGTGTTTGCCAATTGCATTTCTTGAAAATTTGGTGAATCTATGTTAAAACCGCAAAATTCTCATGCCTGTAATCCCAGCACTTTGAGAGGTGGAGGTGAGAGTATTGCCTGAACTCAGAGGTTCGAGACCAGTCTGGCCAACATGGCCAGACCTCATCTTTACAATAAATCAAAAAATTAGCCGAGTGTGGTGGCACACGTCTGTAGTTTCAGCTACTTGGAAGGCTGAGGTGGAAGGATCGCCTAAGCTCAGCAAGGTGAGGCTGCAGTCTGGGTGACAGAGTGAGACTGATTCAAAAAACAAAACTGCATAACCATTTTGTTGTGAGGTAAAAAGGAGTTAGGATCTAGGCTCAGAGCATTGTAATTCAGATTTCTCACCCACACAAGGGTCTAAGGGATGTTTGGTATCCTGTGACTTGGGGCACCCAGGCTCCAGATCTCTAAATACCTGTGCTGTTACCTGGAAGACCAAATGCCATGCCTTGGGGCTCTCACTCCTAGCTACACAACACACTCACAACTGCACTCCGGTGCCGTAACTGGTGTCCCCAAGGCAACAGAAGAGGCTGGGTGCACAGTCTGAGGAGTCCCAGAAGTGGGAAATAGATGGGCTTATTTTCTATCGTAATCAAAGCAGATCAGGGAGGTAGAACTCTCACCCAGCAAGATCTGTTGGGGAGGGAGTGGCATGAAGCCCTGATGGGTCCCTGGGTCCAGGAAAGGCTGCCCAGTGCCATGCTCAGGCTACCTCAGTGCTGGCCTCTAAGGTTTCAGGGGTGGGATAAAGAAAAGCTGCAGAGCTGTGCAGGGGTAGTCTTTAGCTACAGGAGGAGGGAAACCCAGGTAGCCCTACTTTTTGGAGGGTAAGGTGTTCTGCCAGCCTCCCAGCTGGGCCTGAGGAGGAAACAGGACATGGAGGCCTGCACTACCAACCCTTTTGCCCACCCAAAGCATGGCTCTGAAACCAAAATTTTCCCCTGAGCTGCTAGAAACTACCCTTCCCAGCTCCAGGGTTCACTGGATAGCCACCTCCTGGAAGCCCAATTCCTCTTCAGAGATGACCCAATTTCTCTATGCTTGTTTCCCCACTGACCAGATAAGGTGTGTGTAAGAGGCAGTGCTATGCAGGGTTGAAGGCCTGGGTTGCTATAGCCTGGGGACAGCAGAGAAGGCTAGCAGAGTCCAGATGGCCCAGCCGTGAGGCTATCTTCTGGTAAGGAAACACAGACAAAACATGGTTTGGAATATTTTTTTAAACTACAGTTACATACAGAAAATATCCAAAGAGAACGCAGATCACAAAAGTGACACATTAAGTCATTTCTGATAGCGGTAAAAACACTTCTTGCTCCGCTCTTTAAAAAAGTATTTTTATTATTTTTGTAAATGTCTCACTCCGGGCAAACTGAGGGATGTGGTGCTCACAGGGGGTTGGGGTGAGACAGGAGAAGAAGGGTGGGGCCTGGCTTGGGCTATGCCCTCCAGGTGGTCCCTTATATCTGCTGAGGTTGGAATCCCACCCCCTCCATCCTCAGAGATGACAAAGGACCCAATTGGGACACCAAGATGACACAGGATCCTGGACACAAACCATTGGGTTTGGCACCCCCAGTAATATACAGCCCACAGTGATGATGCTACAAGGAAGTTTGTGCACCAGTCCCCAGCAGCTGTGGACATACTATAGTCTTCCTGGATGCCTGGTCCTCCAGGCTGTAAGGCTCAGCTGCTGCATGTGATGGTCACAGGGCAGGTGCCATGTTGGGGATGACAGTGAGATGCATTGGCAGGCCTCTTAGGCACCCCAGACACACAGCATACCCCTAGGGAGGACCCTGCTTGAGTACTGCCCTTCTGTCCCCCAATCCCACAGGGCTGCCCACCCAGAAACTAAGGAGGCAGGGCTGCAGAAGCTTAGCCGCCCTAGATCTCCTACCTCCTTGTGGCCTCCCAAGCCACCCTTCTCTGGTAGCCACACATGTACATTCACCTGCACACAGGGATCATTGCCTCTAGGCCCCCAACCAGCACAGCTCCTACAGGCTGTTGTCCTAGCCTAGCTGTGCCCATGGGAAACAAGCCTCCCACCTGGCCTCACCCAGGAGACACGCTGGGGCCTGCCCCTCTGCTGAGTCAATCTCTCACACAGGCACTCAAACACACAGGTGGGTACGATGAGCCTGCCCCCACCCCAGCACCCTTCACACTATCACCCTGAACCCAGAAAGATTACCCCAAAGAACATCTGATCTCCAGAGATGCCAAGGTGCAGGTCACAGTCTCATCCCTTTATGCTTGCCCTCCAGGCGTGGAGAACGGGTAGCACCAGGGCCATGAGATTCACCCTGGTTGTACCTGAGTCAGAGGTAGCTGCTCCCAAGAATGTGCGAGGAGCTGGGGTGGGGTCTTTCTTTGTAGAGGGCAGAAAACCAAATGGGATCTTCCCGTGCCCTCAGTGGCTAGGCCACACCAACTTTGAGTAAGAGAAGGCTCTCCATGAGAGGCACTCCCAGTCAGCCACACATCCCAGGTGGGAACAGGAATTCTCAGAAACAGCTCCCAGAAACTAAGCCCATGAGGGTTCTCCCTGTCCTGGAAGGGAGAAATGACTCAGAGGACCACACTGGGCTATGTTCCCTAGTCATGCCCAGAAATATTGATGGGAGTTGCCTTCCACCCCACAGAGGGCCAGGAGTAGAGCCCAGGAGGCTGGCCAGGGCTGCCTGAAAGCACAGGGTGGTGGGAGGCCAGGCCCAGGCAGCTGTCAGGAGAAGGTGAGAGCTGCTCTGAGGCATGTGTGGGCCTGGCTGGGGCAGAGGAAACCAGTTCTTTGGTATTGAAGCAACAAAAAGCTATTACAGAAGAGCCGTATCTCCTAAGCAAAGGTGACAGCGTCAAGGTCTACCCTTCCCAGCAGCTCTGAGGGTCCGACCAGGGCTTACTGCTCCAGGCAGGGTTCCTTCCCACTCTATGAGGCCTAAGCACTGGCCCTGCATAGCCACCACAGGGAGTATCAGAGGGCAGCCAGGTTGGGAGGATGAGAAGCCAGACTGCCCAACCTGAGACCTCTACAGCACCCCCAACACAGGACCAGCAGTCGGTTCCCAAGAGCAGCATGGGGAACTGCCCACTCACACACTCACCCAGCCATGCTCACAGCCAGTGGTCCCCGGAGCTTTCTTCACAGCCTGGGTACACCAGGTCCTTGAGGCTGAATATAGTAAGTAGAATATCTCTCACTAAAATTGCATAACTTATAGAAGAGCCTGTAAAGAGTTTAATTTTTTTTCCTGGGAAGAGACAGAATTCACCCTGCATTCCGAAATACATCTGCTGAGCCCTGGTGGCTGAGTCCTGCCTCCCTGGGAGCGCTGCTTGGTCAGAGAAGCCCTGAGCCTGCTCGAATCACCCTGCCTAGGTCTGTCTTGAGACCCTATGACAGAGTGTTGGGGGGGAGTAGCAATGTCTCTGAGTCTTTCCTGTGGGGATGCGTGCAGGCGAAGTAACAGGGACGTGGTGGGCTCTGATCCCCAGGCCAAACCAAAGCTCCCATACTGTCCATTCGAAGCCACGCCTTCCCTCGAACAAAACAGAAAATAGGAAACAAGGCTGCCTTTTTAATTGCAATCAAATACGCTGTCTGAAGTCAGCAAGGCCCCCTGAGCCTGGCTGGGAACCATGCACGGAACCAGAGCAGGCATTGCCACCTTGCTGCACATAAGGGAGCGGGGGCAGGGGTCACTGCACCTCTCACCCTTCTCACCACCACCGTCTCTGAGCTTCCAGGTGCCCAGTGCACTGTCTCCTCTTCGGGTCAGCCCAGCCACCGGCTGCCTTTGGGAGGAAGGAAGGCAGGGGTGAAGGGGGGGTGAGCCGGAGGCGGGGACCCCATCGCACACGCATGCAGACTTTCCCAGTGTGTTTGGTTTCATTTGTTCTCTTCCTTTGCTAAAATGATCAGATAGTCGTGTGAAGCTGCTGCTGGGCCAGGGGTAGACAGGACAGCAGTACTGGTAGGCTGCCTGTCAGCTCCTTGGGCATCCTGGGGCCCCGCCCTACTTTTGTATCTGGAACAGGAAGAGCCGCAGGTTGATGTTCTTGGCAGCCAGCAGCTTGTTGCACTCCACGGAGTCGATGATGGGCAGCGGCACGTAGTCTGTCTCGTTGCTCTCATTGGTGAAGACAAAGTGGTAGATGACAGGACTGATTCTCACGTCATCATAGGGGCCCTTAAGCAGCAAGAAGGAGCACTCCAGAGGCGCTGTAACCTTGCTCTTGAGGAGGAGCTGAAAGGAGAGTGTGCGCTTGCATGACAGGTTGGGGTTGCGCTCTGAGTCGTTCACACGAGCCTTCAGGACCCATGTCTGGTTCAGCACTGTGAACCTTGGCGTCTCATAGTACAGGCGCGTGATGAAGTCATCTGTGCGGTACGGCCGGAACTGGACCTCTGCAGAGACAGACAGGGCCAGAAAAAGCCAGCTGTTAGTGTGGGCAAATCCGGGCAGTGGCGCCTTCCCCGACTGGGCCAAGGACAGGCTCAGCCAGGGAGCAAGGCAACTTACCCAGACACAGCGAGCTCTACTTGTCACAAGGCAAATCAAACGCAATTATGGCAAATGGAGGCGCACACAAGCTTTGGGGGGAACAACTACAAACAGAATTAACACGAATTAGCTGGAGAGAGTCTAGAGGCTGTGAGTGGTCAGGCCACATCCCAGGCGTGCCCCGACCCACAATGGCCTCCCTCATCGCCCTCGGCCCCAGGTGTCCCCACAAGGGTGGGGGTAAGTAGACACACAGACAGGATGCAATTCTGAGAACAAGTGCACTTTATTGGTTCTGATACAGAGCTGCCAGAAAAGCCGGCAGGTGGGTGAGTGGCACCCAGCCCTGCCTGAGGGGAGTGCCAGGTCCTCAGGCGTCAGGCTGACTCAGGCTCTGCAGGCCGTATGCAGGGGTCACCAGTCAGCAGGCGGCCCTGCCTTCACACAGTCCTCTTGTGCAGCCCACACCTGTGGCTGGCAAGTCCCTCCGTGGAGGTGTGGGCTCCTGGGCAGCCAGTCCTTCCTGCACAAATGGGGCTTCCTACCCAGCCACTGCTGCAGCCACAATGCCCCGGCTTGCCCAGACTCCATGAGGCTTGGCCTGGACCATGTGCCACAGTGCCCGCCAGGACAGCTAAAGCTGCTACTAACCAGGGACCATGGCCTTCTGCTGCTGAGGGCCTGCTCAGGCCCATGCCCAGCCAGGCCCAGTGCAGGCAGCATGACATGATTGGCTGCCTGTGACCACCCTGGAGCTTTGAGCTGTCTGCCTGGCGTGGGCTGAGCAGTAGAGGGATGGTGCTTCCCTGAGTGGCCCCAGCATCAGCAGGTGCTTCTTGCTGTTTTCTGCACCAGGCTCTGGCCTGGCTCCTGATCCCCGGCATGTTCAAAAGTGGAGGCGGTGGCAGTGGCCTGGAGAGCCATGAGATCCAATGGGCCTGGGCCCAGTCCAGCCTGTGCGTCTGTGGGTGTCCACTCCCAGTTCTACAGTTTGAGCCAGGCACCCTCAGCTCGTTCTGGAGCCCTGTCCCTGAACAGCTTCGAGCCAGCCTCAAGAGGCCCCAGGGCCGCTGCAGTGACCGCCTGCAGCCAGGACCAGATTTGACAGAGTGCTCTTCTTGCCCCAATTCTCAGGGGCGAGTCCCCAGCTCCCAGGCTTCCCTGAGACATGCCCACTTTCTGGTTAGACATCGACTGTCCCAAGTGCCACCCGGTACAAGTGCCACCTTGCTGGGGTGGTGGGGCCAGGGTGAGGAGGACAAGTGGGAAGGGCTGCCATGAAAGTCACGCAGGTATGCCCTGGGGTCCGGCCCAGCCCCTCCCTCTGCTTAGTCTCTGGCCTGTCTTCTTCCCTGAGGTCTCCTCCTGTTCTCTGGGAGCTTGTCCAGAGCCCAGTCATCCGGCGCAGCCAGTGTGCGCTGCCCAGAGCCTGCTGCCCCCAGGTTCCTGGCCACCAGATCCCTAAGCCCACACCTGTGCAGCATGCAGCAGGTGGTGAGGCACCTCACCTGTGTAGCCAATCTTCTCAAAGCTGAGCAGGCTGAAGATGCTGTTGTAGAGCTGCATCTCCTTGCGGTGGCTCTGGTCCATCTCATCCAGGATCTCCATCAGCTCATTGCCCGTCTTAGTTGGGTGGGCACATGCAGCCTCGTGTACTGTCAGCTCATGGAACGGGCCATGCCACGGGCAGCCAATGCGCTTGTACTTGCACTGGGTCACCCTGGGAGGAGGTGAGCACAGCAGTCATGGCCCATGCCCTGAGCAGGTAGTCATGACCCGCTGTTCTCCAATGTGGCTTCCGCCCAGCCTGTTTAGCCATGAATCTCTTCCTGCAGGACACATTTAACCATGAGCCCAGTCCCTAGGACAGGGGTCAGAGCAGATGTGTATGAAAGAGGGAGAGGGAGAGGGAGAAGGAGATATAGACAGAAAGAGAAAAAGGGAGACAGAGGGCAAGGGAAGGAACAAGTGCAAGCTGTGAGCTTGCATGCCTCCTGGACCCACAGCTGTGTCTCTCCTCTGCTTGGCAATAAGTGGCTGCTGACTGTGGTCTTGGAACCCGCATAGCCTCACTCCAGGAGAGACTTGGTGGTTGGCCCCCACTGGCTGAGTAGCCATGTCCTCTTGACAGTGTAGCCTCACCCTAAGCTCCCAGAGCTCCTGAGCTAGCCACACTGTGCTAAGGCCCTCAAGGGGCTACTTATAGCCACAGAGAGTCCTGGAAGGCAGGGTCAGGTCCAGATAGCAATTGGTATAGACTCCTGTCCTATGTAGCTCTAACTCCCCTTTCAGGGCCTGCTGGGTCATCACTGGGCTGCATGTGCAGTACCCAAGACCCTGGCAATAAGTATTGGCCAGATTACCATGTATAGGGACCTTGCCTGCACTGGGAGTGGTGGGGGCGGGGGGAAGCCTCCAGCCCTGTTCTTGGTACCATGTGAGAGGCTGAGCCCTTAGCAGTTACCTGTCCTGACATTCCTCTTTCTGGTGCCTCTCCAGGAGGGAGCGGGGAAACTGGCGCAGGCAGAAGCCACATTCTGAGGGCAGCTCACTCACGGCTTTCTCCACAGCCAGGTTCCGGCAGCAGAGGCTCTTACTGATCTCACAACGACAATTGGGGCATGTGGCCTGCTCCTCCTTCAGCCGGGCATCTGCTAGTAGGTGGATAAAACAGCCAGCGCACATCAAGTGACCATTAGTACACTGCGAAGAAGGAAAGGGAGATGAAACTCACAGACCTGCGGGACTCGTGCAAGTGCACGCACCCGCCCATGTCCTCCGGCTCCAGCCAGTGCCAGGCCAGTCATCCTGAGGGACTCCGGCTGGTAAGGAGAGGAACCTGTGCCTGTCTTTGAGTTGTGCCAGTGTTCAGCAAATACTGAGAGTTGCTCAGAAGGGACAGGCAAAGTCACAGCTGACTTGAGCTCTTGCAGAGACCGAGTCTCAAGGGTAAGATCTTGTCAGTTTCTGGAAGTTATAGCTCTTTCCTGATGCAAGTGGGACTGGTGGTAATTGATTTGGCCACACTGAGCCTGGCTTTTTCCTATCCTAGGGGCCAGGAACTGTCCCAAGTCTCCTACAGGCCCAGATTTTGGGACTGCCCCCCCCGCCCAGAACACTGGGCTCTTGACCTGGCACAGCAAGAGCACTTAGCCAGCAGCTGCCTAGTGATGCTGCTGCCCACACTGAGGAGTGGGAGTGGATGCTGCTGCCCACACCGAGGCAGGAGTGCCCTTGTGGACTTTCAGAAAGGTCGTACATGCCAGGGTGTGAGGATATGGCTCAGAGTGAGCCCAGGTTTGGCTCTCTCTGGTGAGCCCAAGTGAGAGGTGGCAGCTATCACCCATTCAGAGAGATTGGCTACCTACAAGGGCCTCTTGAAGCTGTGACAGGTGGGAGACCAGGATGACCCATGTCAGGGGCAGGTGGGCATATGTTGCGTGCCTGTGAGGTGGAGCTGGAGGCTCCAGGTGGTATATAATGCTGACTTGAGCTGGTGTAAGTTGAGTTAGCAGGAACCAGGCCCCGCTCACTGGGGCTCCTTGCCCATGTCAATGTCCAGCTACCAGTATACCCATCTTGGGTCTCTCTTTCACTTGACAGTGCCCATTTGGTGCCATTGAGAGACACATGATAGGATGTGGGCCCAGCCCAAGAGGGGCAAACAGTGTGGGAGGAGGAGAGGCCCAGACCAGAACCAAGAAGTACAAGAACAAAGACCTGAAGCTGAGCAGACACAGCTTCCCACAGTCCTGGCCCATGGGCAGACCCAAGGGTCCAAGAACACTGAAGTGGAACATGTGGGTTTTGGGCTGAGTTTTTTTTTTGAGTTGGAGTCTCATTCTGTTGCCCAGACTGGAGTGCAGTGGCTGCTCCTGGCCACTGCAACCTCGACCTGCTGG